TTCTGACACATAATGATCATTTTTTTGTGTTGGGAATAACAAAGCTCTAGAAAAGGGTTATTTTTATAGTCACATCAGACACATCTTTTGAGCTGTTTCTTCCTCAAGCAAAGCTGCACCTTATTGAGATCTATAATGAGCAATTGATGAGGGAGGGTGTGCTTGTGGGAGCTATTTGGGACATGGAGAGCTGTGTGAAGTATATCTCTGACCGCTCATACTTGCAGAGTTTATGTAGAAATGTATGTAGGAAAGCATAGGCGACCAAGTCCTATGTCAAAATATAGCAGATTTTCAATGTATAATAGTTTGTCTGGCATACATCAATTTTATATCTTTTCTAAGAACATTGTCCCCTCTCACCTCCATTACTCCATTACACCATGTACTGTAGTTTACTCCACAAAGGCACTACAGTCTCTGCCATGACAGGCCCAGACAGCAGGTGGTCCAGGATGATCCTTGAAAGACATTCCTCAACTTCCCTACATGTGATTGGAGAAGAACAACCTTGAGAGAACTGACTCTAGTTTAGAATCCTACAGGGGGGTTCTTGGATCAATGAAAAAATCCTTCACTTGCTACAGGAACTGTCATAGCAACAGTTCTTCTATGACCTTCTAAAGCACCAAGCAGCTATCTCTATACTACCATATTACATAAGTTTGCAAAGTTTACTCTAAACCAAGTGTTCTTCCACCAAACCTTCCAAGCTCAGGTGCCTGAAATTTCTTTATGCTTTAGTAGGGAGTTTGATTTCATTAGCCTCTTGTATCTTTTTAGAGTTAACTAACAAGTTCATCCCACTCAAATATTTGGATTATGAATTCTGTCATTTTTTTTTCTTCTCTATCTTACCAGCATAGTGTTGGCTTGTTTATTTATTTTTCAGGGTCTGAGTTCTCATATTTGTAATGTAAATGCATAGGCTTTTCTTTTTCTCTCTGGAGTCTCAAAAGTTATCCACCTCAATGAGGAGTCTGGACTTTTGTCCCCAAAACATTGTACATCATTATTGTTGATAGTCCTTGGATTTCAGTTCTTTCTGAACTGAAGTGATATCAAGGTAAGATATATAGTTTAAAGTGGTTTTATAGATGAAGTGACAATAATAGGACAGGCAGGCAGATAAATGAGTTATTAGAGATGCATTTGCTAATATAGTGGAAATATCACTAGAAGAAAAAGAAAATTCAATGAATTAGATATCTATATATTTTTTTAAAGATTTATTTATTGTGCATACAGAACTGGGGTACAGGCCAGAAGCTCAGGGGCGGTGAGAGGCTTCACCAGAGACAGAGTGGGGAACAGAACAGGCAGATCGATGAAGTACACTGCTGAGGGGAGCAGCGGGCGGGTCAGGAGAGGTCTGCCACACCATGTGGTCACCTCCAGGGCAGGCGGGAATCGAACTCATGTGGAAGCGGCTTTAGATTCTCAGTGCTGTGCTTTAACCCGCTGCGCCACCAGGGAGGGCCCTAGATATCTATATTTGAAGAATATTCTAAGTTCTGTCAAATTTAAACACATTATACTATTTTAATTGGGTGTATAACTATGAGATGTGAGCTATAAATGTCAATTTATTCTAATGCAATAATCACATAGGTATTAATTGAATCACTGGCTTTTCTTCATAAATCTGTTAAGATCAGTGGTTCTCAACTTGGCTGCATATTAGAATTAATGGGCTCGGAGAGTTATTTAAAAAATCTTGATATCCAGGTTGTACTGCTGACCATAATGTTTTTCTAAATGTCCCCCATGTGATTTCAATATGTCTAATACAACTGCTGTAGCAGGTTATTGGATTTTCATGTATATTAAACTAAAAGGAAAATGTCTGATGAACATTCTTTCTACTAGCACAGAATTTTCTGCTAAGCAACTTGAAATTTGACTTTCATCCTTGAGTTTCTTCCTATGGAGCAAAAGTATTCAATTTGGCAGCACTTGAGCACAGAAAGAACCACAAACGACTTTATTTATCTTTTCCCTAGGCTTGCAGCAATCATTCCATGTGAATGTGTTTGTTTATCAGAATAATAAATGGATGGCCCTGCAGATCTGTTTTAGATTCACTTGCAAGAGATTCTCAGTGCCTTCAAAGAAGCAGCTTTTAAAGATTCCAAAACCTCAAACTTGCTTACATTTTTATTTTTTCAGCTTTCTACACATATATGAGTTTTGGCAGCCAGAGTTTTCATTGACTAAAATCAAAGGGAAAGGGATTTAAAAAAAAAAATGAGATTTTTTTCAAGGAGTTGGATGAGCTGGTGGTTGGGACTCCTTTCCTAGAAAGAAGAATGTGGGGATAAAATACTTTTAAGAATTCTGTCACACATCTGAGAATCCTACATTTGTTGATAAAGCCAAAGTTTCACTGTCAGTTAATGGACAAGCTGCGTTCTCCTACACCTTGGGAATACTCCCCCCGAGTAAATGGAGCTCAGATGGCAGTCTGAAAGAGCCATCCTTTTTTACATATGCATTTTTTTTTTCTAAATTAAGGTAACATTGACTTCAAATACTGTCTGGGATTCAGAGATACTGGATTTACCTCTTTAGAAGTGAACAGACCCAGATCAGAAATAGGTCAAAGCTTCCATGCTTATCAGAAAGTCATCTTAATTAATCTTAAATTTATGTTATCTGTGGACTTTATTTCCCAGGGTTGTTCAATATATTACAAAAAAAAGTATAGGAAAAGATTCTTGAAGGGCACCTTCCTGCTTGAATGTTGATGACTCAAACTTAGGCCTGCTTGCAACCAAATCATTACACCAGGTAGATTCTTGTACCTAATAATCTATTTCTATACATAGGAATATCCAGTCACATGTTCCAACTTCAGAATTCAGAGAAGGGTGGAAATATTGTCCCTTGTTATTAAAGTGTAAAGTGCAAGTAAGAAGGACTTTATTATGAACATAAAATTATTTCCGTTACTTCTGTATTAATAATGAAGGACAGAACATATTAATTTAATCAATGAAAGTAGATTTCTTGGATTAATTGGGTAAGCAAAGTAAATTATGCTTGAGTCCTATAAGAAGAGGAAAATCCAATAGATTTTGCAATAGAATTGTTGCTGATTTAGCAATAGCATAGATATGCTCATTTTCCCTCTTAGCTTTGTAAAGATACCAGGAGGTGAGGATTGCTCCATGTTTACAGTTTCAGCTCTATTGTATCAGAACAAGGATGGGCTAAATGTTGCTAAATGTCTTTTCTTGAAATAAAGTGTTTGTATTTGACACAAAGAATAATAGCTAAGATTCTACAACTCAAGAATCAAAAGATACTGCAGTAACACAAAATTGACTTTTAATGTTTGTTTACCAGTTCATTGTATCTTACAGAAAATGCAAACATTTTTTTTTTTTTTTTGGTAATACAGATTGTTTACTCTCCTCAGCTTTGTACTCAAGAGGCATTAAATGCCTTTAAATACTGATTTTCTTTTAATCAGATGGTTTAATGACTTCTGTATTTTTTATTTCTTCCATTGTACATCATTGCTGCCCTGGCAGTAGTGAGCTGTGATACAGTTAACTTTTCAACCAAACTATGTCAATAATCCACTGATCATTCTTGATGCACTTTATGCTGCAAACTGATAGTTAATTCCTTTTGAATCCTCTCTCCTTAGTGGTCACCTACTCCATGAGACCACCATATTCTTTGGAGCACTGAAGTCAAGAAATCCTATATGGCTGCCAGCAACCAAATTGGAATTTCTTTGAAATCTACTTCTAAATGCCAACATAAGAAGCAACTATTTTATTGCATAAAATACAACAGGTACCAGCCCCCTTTCTATGAGAGAAAGTTTAAATTTACAAATACCATAGTTGACTAAAACTTACTGTGATGCAATATGGCAGCAGTCATTAAAAGATGGCTTCCAGTGTTAATGTGACTAACTATAGTTTCTATTCTTCTACACTCTTTGTTATATGAATCATTTCTTTTTGTTCAGGTTTTCCAATGTAGGTGTTTCAGTGAAATCTGCAGATGGATTTAGTTCCTTATATAAGCCACATGTGCTAATTATGAGCATATGATCAAATCAATATTTCCTTATTTTACCCATCCAATACTCTTAGAACTCAAGTCTGAGGAGCAATTTCTGAATTAGTCATTGTTGTAGTGACTTACTGCTGTGTTAGGATCACCTTTATTTTAAAACATTTTCAGTGAGATATTCTGGAGAATGAAGTAGGGCAATAGACATATTGTGGGAAAATGGCAACTTTTTTTTTAAGTACCATTATTCCAAAGTGGTGAAATTTTAATGCCTTGGGAGAAACCAGAAGATAAAAATTCTGCCTAGCAATATTAATTTTGTTAAACTTCGTTTTTTACAAAGCATGGAAAAATGATGTGTAATCAGTATAGATTAATCAGCTAACAGTCACTCTAGAGATTTTGAACAGCACCAATTCCTATACTGATTAAGTATTCAAGAGTTAAGAAATACGATTATTCTTAACATTATAAAGACAGAGTTCTGTGGTAATATCTGAAAATTCTGTATGTGCTTCAACAGAAATTTGTTCCCACATTTACATTTCCAGGAAAATTCTTTTACATGGGTAGCAATCCTTCAAGTAGGGACTGCCTCCAGTAAGCTAACCCTCTGTATTTGAGGTATTAGAGTTGCTATCTTACAGATAGCCACCTCTTTAAATAATATATTCCTCTATCCTAGACCAGTCAGGTATCTTTCATTTAGAAGTTTGAGTTTGTCTCAGAGTGTTTGAATTAAAACTCACAATCACTTTGGATTTACAGTTTTGTCCAATTTGTATGTTCAATCTAATGTCAAAATGTGCATGCATCTTTTAATATTAAAGCATCTGATAATTTCCTGATATGCTTTTGATAAGAGAAACATCTATTTTTATTTACAACATTATGTCTAGATAATGTATGAATGTAGTTAGGTTTCATGGACTTCCAATTGTTCTATATCTTCCACACACTCTACATTTATAGCACAAATTTATTAGAATTATTATAGAGCTTTAAATGCAACCACAATCAATTCAGGAAATAGGTTTATTTACTGATGTTCAGGGGAGGAAAATCTACATAAAAACATTCATGAAAGCATACCAGCTATGTCATACTTGAGTTATTATACTAAATCTCATTTATTAAAACTCATTGTGAAACAATGGGAAACCATGAAATGTAATTTGAATACAAATATTGGTCCCTGGGGGGTCTCAACAGTCATAAAAATATAGGAAAACATCTTTATTTAAGATTGGAGCTGTTAATGTGGAAGGCTATTTTTCTGAAGCTGGCCTTACAGTTTCATTTAAAGCCCTGAAGATTTTACTGTAAACTTTTTGATGATGTCTTCAGCATTTCATTTAAGCCTAATGATGACCAGCAAGAAAGTGACCACATTGTATGGAGGAAGGTTTAGAATTACTTTGTTGACTTCGTTTCCCCAAACACAGGCACCAGTTGGACTTTCTAGTGTATAAACAAATAGGAATAATAAGAACTGTGATGACTGGGTCCCTATTTCTTGGGTAGGCAAGTGTATAGTTATTCATTGCTTTCATTTTTTTTTCTGTGTAATCTAAATAAGAAGGAAATATTAAATAGTTTAAAGTTATTTTTATAGGACAATAACATTTCATAAGCTAACATAAAATCAAGCTGCTAAATTTTACAATTTTTCTGTCCAGCAGTTTATCTATATAACTGCCCTGAGTAGATGCTAAATGCTGCTTAGCAAATGGCCCTTAGAATTTAAATATGACTCAGTAAAGCTACTCAAGAGATAAAATAATTCTCCTCAGGCATGTGTAATTTTAATTAGAAGGTAGGAGTCTCATTGGTTAAATATTATCTGCTAATTTGTTTCATACTTCATATAAATGGGATTATAATAAGTTTTAACTGTGCTTGTTACTGTGCATTTGAGCCATATGAATGTCTTTTTTTTCTTTTTTTTTTTTTTGGTCAAAAAGGCAGGGTTTTAAAGAGTAAAGTTTTGTCTCTTGTTAACTAGATATATTAACTTTTAGAAAAGTGTAGATTGTTCCCTTGTGAAACAGCCTTGTGCAACCACTCAGAATCTTAGCTTCCGTAAAGAAGGCTGTATTTCAAATGTGTTGCTCTAATTTGTTTATTGTAGTGCATTTCAAAATTGTACAAATATGTAAAATGTGTGCTTGTGGAAGCTGCTGTTCTGAGTAGCTTTACTTTTTTCCATTGGATCCTAGCAATCCTCAAGCTATTGCAAGCCCCGCTCATGAAAGGAATACTTCGTTGGGATGATGTAACCTAAACAGTTTGGCTCTAGAGCCTCCGTATGTAGCACTTCCCTTAAAATTATATTAATTTATAATAGATATTGAATGGTAGTTTTACAAAAACAAATTAATGAATTGTTTTTTTATGAAAATGACTCTTTACAGTAAGTAAAAAAGGGTTATCACAGTTTTGGTAACTTGCATGAGTTCATATTAAAAAAAAAAAACACAAAACAACCTTTCACATGTTCTTAGTAACTTTAACACTGCCGCGCTCTAGAAGCGCGCTCAGTTGTATGCTCTGAAGCAGTAGACACCATACAGCTTATGCTTCTTATCTGGGAAGCCCACGAAGCGCACTGCAGCCTCGGTGGGACTGCAGCGCCTTCTTGGCCTAGAGATGGGATAGCGGACGCTGCCGTCTGCCAGCCAGCCTGCATCGCAGCGGTCATATCCCAGAAGTTTCCAGGCAGCAAATATTTGGCCCACTTTGGCAATCTGAGCACCATCTTTGAGGCAAGCCTGGACTGCTTCATCATAGGTCAGCTTGGTAGGGTGGATCAGATAGTAAAAACGGCCTGCAGAGGGAGACAGAGAGCAGAGAGCATCACTGGCCTGTTCTTGTCTGAGTTCCAAGCGTGAAAGGAGCCAAATTGTGTTTCTCAGTGAACAAGGATATAGAGCTATGTCCGTAAGTTTTTTTTTGGAATGTAAGATCACCAATTAAAGGTAGTACCCAGGTCGCTTTCCACTAAATTAGTTTTTTCCCTTGGCCCTTAATGTGTGCGGAGACACGCCCTTGCATAGCTTTAAAAAAAAAAAAAAACCAAAGGGAAATGACAGATGCAGTTTCTGTTAGCTAATTAGTAACTAAAAGGGCCCTTCTGTGGCACTAGAGAAGACAGAATCCCATGTTAAAAGCAAGGGCTATTTAAATTCTAGCTGTAACAAGACCCAAGCCCAGCACAAGTTTCTGGAGAGGCAAAATTTGAATGTGAAAGGATCAAAAAACATTACTGGCATAAAAGTTCATTTGAAAAAAAAAAAAAATCAAAAGCCCCAAAGTTCTTTTCATTACAGTTATCAAAAAGACATTATTCTTATTCAAAGACTACAGTATGAAAATGCAAAAAAAAAAAAATACAGGAAGCCACTTGCCATAAATAATATAGACTTGGAGTGTAAACTCAGCTGGGTTTGCTCACTTGCAAGAGGGTGACTTTTTTTTCACCTTTCCTCCTTTGGAAGCCTGCTACCCAACATTACTTGATTTCATAGCAAAGAGCATGTTAATTTCAAACACTTACTGAATAGTGGTAATTATTGAGATTGCCTCAAAATGTGTTAATAATGCATTTAAAAGTATAAAATGACAGAACCGACCAACGTGTAAATACTGATGGAAGATTTTTCCAGACCTTTAGCTTTCGATAAAATATAACCCCTCTTATTTGACTGCAAATTGCTATGTGGAGTCCCCCTGTTCTTCACTGCATATAGATGATTCAAGTATCAGTTAATCTTGCCATTTCTTTCTACAAGATATGTGATTTGGAGCACTGGAGGAGGCTGCTGGAACATGAACTAAGGGTGAGGTCTGTCACCTACCCCGTGGGGGGTGGGGGGGTTGCAGTGCAGGAAGCAAGAGAAATTTCTTAGAACACAGCCACACCCACCTACTTAATTTTACAAAGTACAATGACACATTGAGGCATCACAGCAGGACCATGTGCCCACAAAGAATATTTGTTCATCTCGATCCTTTATTATTTTTCCCCAAAGCAAAGCAAAGCAACAAGGAACTAAAATATAAAATGATGGAGCCAGGATTTGCTTCATGGGTGTGTGGTTGTTTAGTTACACAGGCCCTCAAGCTTGACCTGATATTCTCCTGAACCCACACTAAAATTCTTAATAACTTTTAAATACAGATGACACATTCTCATTTTTTCACAGGGCCTTACAAATTATGTGGCTATTTCTGGATGGAGAGGGTCGGGAATTGTGATGCATTCAATAAATCACTTTTAACACTGAGGCAACAGTAATTTTTTCTTCTGCTTTCATTTCCAATGTTACTCTCTACTAATTTTGCTTGCAAAATTCTTTCTATGAGATAGCGAAACTTTATCTTGAATTTTGCTGATCGTCCATGAATCCATTGCAATTTAGAGGTGAACATGGCACAGAATCCACCTTTACTTCAATTTAGAGACCTATATCCCAAAGAGCCCACAACGGCAACATCATCTTCGGCAAATAGAAAAGTCAACGAAGTAAGAAAATAAATATTAAAAAAATTTTAAATTTTTTTGTATGTGTACCTATACACATACATACTGAATTAAAAAAAAAGACATAGCCTCTATGATGTCACAATTAAAGCTATTTTGGGGCTCTCCTGGTGGCTCAAGGAGTTAAAGTGCAGCACTGTGAAGCGACATGCAGATGCTGCAGTGGCCTATGGGATAAGTCACAGTGCTATCTCAGCCCTGGCACCGCTGGGGTTTTGGGTCTGAGTGCCATCCCGGGCCAGGGAGGTGACCCACATGGCACAGCAGACCTCGTCTGTCTCACCCACTGCTCCACTCAGCAGTGTATTTCAGTCTGCCTGTTCTGTTCCCCACTATTTTTGGTGAATCCTCTCACACCCCACCCCCTACACTTCTGGCCTATACCTCAGTTCTTGTAGACATAAATAAATATTTTTTAAAAATTAAAACTATTTCATAACAATTGGATGAAATATACCCTAGGAGCAGAGGAAACACTCACACTTGTTTGCCTAATGTGGATACTTTTCTTTTTTACATTTATGTTTATAGATTTTGTGCCTTTTTCCATCTCACGTGTAGCCCTGTGGACTTCCCATCACTCGTGTGCCATCACCGTAGTCCGGTGTACTCCTCCCCACCCCCCAATGTGGATGCTTTTTAAAAATTATGACATTAAAGAACTTTCACATCTTTTCAAGCTAAAGCAACACTTCAAAGTTCCCCCCACCTTTTTTTTTTTTTTTTAAATGTAGATAAGATTAAAAGTCAAGTGTAATCTCTGGGATAAGAAAGAAGGAAGCATGGTTCATATCTTACCATTGAAGTTGGATGTAAAACAGAAAACATCATATCGGCTTTTATCTTTATCCCAAAAGCCGTAGTTCCTGACTCCGGGTACCGTGTTCTGGCCCCCACAGGGCTCTCTGGGCTTTGTGATGGGATATTGCACAGACCCATCGCTGAGCCAGCCAGCGTTGCACCAGTCCAGCCCGCCCCGCCAGGCATCATACAGCTGGTCGAAAGAGGCCATCACGGAATCCTGGTCCAGACAAGCCTGCTGGGCCTCGTGGAAATTCAGATTGTAGCGTCCCAGTCGTGGAAAGTACGGGAATACCACACCTGTCCAAAGAAGTTGTGGGTCATTGATGGCACAAAGAGCAACGACTATGAGCCCGTACAACATTTTAATGATTACTGTTCTCATCTTAATGACAAGTCAACAGAGCTTAGAATTGCAAATTTCAGAAACCTTGAGGAAACACAATCACCCATTACCTGATTTTTACAAAATTCTATCTTCCCAAATTTAAGAAAGAATGACTCCCTGGTTGCGCAAGCTCGCCGAAGCCGCTTTAGTGTGGGTTCAATACCTGGCTCCGGAGGTGAGCCACATGGCATTACAGGCCTCTTCTCTCTCATCCAATGATCTTCTCATCAGAGTATTTCATTTAAAAGTATTTCCATGACTATTTTTAGCTTCCATATTCACATACTTTAACCCAAAGCTAGTATTTTAATCCAAAGCTAGCATTTTTTTTTAACAGATGACTGTTGATTAACATCCTCAGACATTATTAAGCAATGTATTTTAAGGGTATAACCCTTAGCAAATATATTAAGCTACACATTTTAAGGGTACTAACCCTTAGCAAATATAAAAAGCATGACTTGGAATTTGCCTTTGCTTAGGAAGACAAAAATATTTTGTCCTAAATAATTATTTTTAGTCAAATAAGTATGAGAGGTGATTGAATTGTCCCATACTGTCTGTATAATTTCTTTAAAGAGTAAGGATCATAAGAAAGCATAGCTATATCATTTGATGAACTTCAAAGATCGACTATCAAAATGTTTCTCCTAAAGTGGCTAAAAAGCAATCGATTTATAGTGATTACTGAAGGTCTTGTCTTGGATTTTTTTTAAGGAGAAATAATCAATATTTTAGCATGTAGAATGTAAAAAAATTGTCCCACAGACAATCACTTGTGAAGCGTATCCCATGCTCTATTTTTTGAGACTGCTGGTGCTGTTCAAAAGAAATGTACAATTCAGTAATCGTGTAACCAGCACACAGGAAATGTTTTCTTTTGTAAGTTGAATACTCCACAAGAAGAACTTTCAATAGCCTCCATCAAGTTGCGCCTTTGGAGGGCATGCTTGTCCCTCGGAAGCCATCCAGCTGGCACTGTGCACAAGAGGCAGAGGTCCAAGAAGGTTTCCTGATCTGATCCTGCCTTCTCAGATTCTTGGCTGCAGGATCTATAAGCTGAATCCGGGCCAAAAAGAGAAGGAAAAGACTCTCTTGGTTGCTATTACCCCTGCAGTGATGGGGGTGGGGAAACCTAGAAATGGTTGGGTCTAAGAGCTAAGCCAGGCATCTGCTAAGAGCCCAGTTAGTGCTGGGAAGGAAAAGCAATAGTGCTCCCTGCTCCCTCGTGCCTTTTATGCTTGTTCCTTAGCAAACCAGGGTGAACCAATGAAAAGGAAAATATTTAATTTATCTAGTAGAAATTTCCTTGGCAAACAGACCTTATGTGAGAGACAATCACAATGTACCTCAATCTGGAGAAAGAGAAACCATTTGGGTTGAATCCACTACCCAAATGGATCAAGATGATAATAGCAGCGTATATATGCTATTTTACCTTGTTATAGTTTTAAAGACCTAGATGATCCTTCAGGTTTAAATCCATGATAGTATATTTGGTGAATTCCTATGGACATTAGGAAACTTTTTCCTGAAGTACTTCATCCTTGATTAACCATTCATTAAATGTTACTTAAACATGGTTCATTCACTACCAAATCCATTGTAAGATATATTTAGTCGCTTTCCAATTTAACATAACTTTCATGCAATCATTTCTTAAAGTCATCATGAAACCCAGTATAAAATTTTAGTATTTTTAAATTTTAATTCAAAAGATGAACTTATTGTTCGCTTAACTAAAAAGATTTATTTCACAAAATAATTGATATCTGATAATGCAACAAAGAACAAATTCCAAGTAAATCAAGGTCAATTTCTATGTCATACTCAATCAAAGCTTTCAAGGTTTCACTGTCTAAATGCATTTGTTGTATATATTTCAACAATAAAATGTTTCTTACATTTCTGAAACTACATGTTAATACTCTATTTATTTACTTACTTTATTTCCACCTAGTTAAGATTTCCATTTCTAAGATTATAACTGCAAAAACATCTTGGCTTTGGAGAATGTGCAATAGATATACAGAAAATAGTTGATTAAGAATTAATCTACATATTAAGAATTAAGCTTAATTCTTTTTATGGAGCAAATTGCTTTCATCCAGCAATACAAGAAAAGAAAAATTAAACATTCATGGGTGAGAAAGAAGGGTATATGATTATTTTCCAAATGTGATTATTTTATACTTATATGTTAAAATATAATCAAAAACCTTCACTTTTCCATGAAAGACTAGATACATCTCTAGAAAGGAAATTACTACTGATGATGCCATCACCTGGAAAATAATATCAAATTATGTGAGAAGCTTTAGTTCCTCAAAATATGTTTTGAAAACATATTTTTTAAGATTTATAATTATACAATCCAACTCGTCCTAGTTGTTAGCAAATATGAATTTATTAGACATAAGAAGATTCTCACACCGTGGTACATATAAAAGTCAAAATTTAATATTTTTAGTAATAAAAATGAAGAAACCATGTAGCATAATTTTACTTTCCTTAGTTTTTTTCAAAGTGCTTATTTGGAATATGTTTATCTGAAATTTTCTATTTCTGAAAATTCTCAAACTACATTTTTTTATTTGCCACATTTTCTCCGATGAAAAAACAAACAGTGGGAGACTAGAAGCACAAGTGTCATCTTTTTCATAACATTACTCAAATTACTGATTGCTGCAATGACTTCTGCAGTCCAGGCTACTTAAGAATTTCTAGTGACAATCTCCTTGTTAGAGTCATACAAAGCTTGTCTCTTTCTGGGTGATGTTTCTAGCAATGTGGGTAATTGGTATTGAAAGTCCAAAATTCTTATGAAAAAATTGTACTTCAGCATCTAGTTATAATGCACACATAGGTCAGTCAGTCTTTGAAAAGGGCTTACAGATATTTTTTTTACTGGTGTGGTTCAAAAATTTAAGAGATAATTAAGAGCAAGGCACTATACTCAGCACACTGGAATACAATTTTGGGGTCGGCCACTTTCCTGCAGAGAGTCCACATATGTGTGTGTGTGTGTGTGTGTGTGCATGTGTTTGCATGTATACATACATATATCATATCCAATGTGTATAAATTTGAATCCAAGGCAGAATAAAATCTTGTAATATAAAAGCAAACCATATGATTTGGACATTTTGAAGAACTATTTTTTTTCTAGTTGGAAAAATTCTTTATAGAATATAATAAAGGACATCATATAGTTACAGGTGCAATGACAGATTCATTATGACATTAAAATAATGTGTTTTATGATCTTATGTATCTCAGGATACTGATAAGAGTTTGAATGAATCTTCAAACTTTTATGTATATAACCTGTGTACTGTGATCATCTATTTCAGAGTATGTAGAAGCTTCTTATCTTTTATCCAACAGAGCATTTCCCCTTCCTAGAATTCCCTAACCATCTTGGATAAAAGCACTGGCTTCATCCAGTGCCCTTACAATGAAATTCCAGCTCTAATTCTTATTACTAAACATGCCATCTTATAAAAGGAGCTGTCTGTCAAGAAGAGTTACAGAAAATGAACAAAATAGTAGTACATACAATTAGAATACTTTGTACTTACTTTACTAAACTGTGCCCTCATTTTACAGTACTTACTTTTAAAGTTATCTGAGAACTGTTAATGGACTAGAAAAACAATTAATTCACCTTTTAGGGCCCAAATCATTGTTGAATGAAAGGAACCAAGATTTGGAATTTTTTATATCTTTGGCACCAGATATAGCACTTATAAAAATATTTATCAGTGAAATTGTATTCTTGGACCAGGAGACTTGCCTCAGGTTTGTTCTTAGGGAAGTGTTCCAAAAGCATGGCAAACATGGAGATTAGGGATGGCGCAGACCTACATGGGAAACAGGACTCTTCTTCCATTTTACTTTCAAAACCTCTAATTGTATCTGGAAGGGAGTCTCAGTTAGAGTCTAGAGTGCATTATTCTTTAACATATACCAAATCTACTTTTAAAATAGACTTTATGCTCAGTGTCATAGGCAAGCAGTGGTATCCAACTAGAAGCAGAAATATCATATTCATTTTTATGGTTTCCTTCTATTTCTGGCAAGACATTCTGCTTTCTATATATTTAAAATTTCATCTTAAAGTAAATGCAGAAAGAGAAAATATGATGTGTATTATTTATGTTTAGAAATATGATGCTACCTAAATATAGAATTTCAGAGGAAAAATGACATCACATAATATAAGCCTGTCTATGACTCATGAATAAGGAAGTAAAAGTAAGTAATCTGCATCAGTTATAAGATGTACATTGGCACAGTTGGTACTAACCTAAGCATCATGATACTAACAGCTCAAGGCTCTATCCATTGCCTAATTCCCCTTCAATAAAGGAAATGGGCTTTTAATTAATAGCTGATGATTGATTGTCTTCTCTAACCCAACTATTTTCATGGTGAATAATGCTAGTATTCATGAACACTGACACTGACGTCGATCAATAAAACTGAAAGCACAAATAAGGATGCAATTAGTTAGTAATCAAGAGCTACAACTAAAAGAGATAAGAAAGGGACATAAAAATGATTTTTTGTGTTACTGTAAAGCTAGTAAATTTCCATACCTGTGATGGGGTTCTGTGGAATGCAGAAGGTCATGCCTTCAGTGATGTGTTTGTTGGTCAGACATTTTTCCTAAAACCAGAAATCTACTCTAGAATGGGATCGGGACTGCTAGCAACTCTACAATTTATTGTTTATAGACATAAAGAAGGATGAAGACAAAATCCATCCTTCAGTGTAAAGAAACATTAATATAAGAAGAGGATTTCCCTTATTGTTGGGATGTAGAAGGTAGAATTTAGGAAGAGACAGGATGACAAGGACATTTCATTGTCTAGCTTTGTGTTTATTTTGGTTTGAAACTGCTGAAAGGGTTATCTATTTAAGAAGTAAACTCTTATCCCACCCCTTCAATCTGGCATTCATTGAATATTAAATGTCTAAGAGACTCCGTACCATTTAAAAATACTGCTTTACAAGAATACTGAATAACCACATAATGAGGTTTTAATTTTGAACAGCATAAGGCTGGTCCTGGATATTGCTGATCTAGTTCCACTGCATATTTCTCCTATTTGCAAATAGGTTCAAATTTGCATGTAACTATTGTGTGTACATTTTAACTATGAAAGTGTTAAAGATAGCAAAATATAAAAGAACAGAAACACAAGCTATGCATAAAATTTTTGTTTCTCCCACATCACTATGGAGACCATGAGTTATTCCTTATCAAGAAAAACAAAAAATGTTTAATTCTCATTTCTAAGGTTGAGATGGGTTCTAGATACCTACCTTGTAAATCTAAAGCAACCACAGCAGTATCATCTTCTAAGCCTTCAATTACCTCACACTTATATTTCCCATAATCTTCCAGGGTGAGGTCAGTGATCACCAGAGAAGCGTCGTTATCACTGCTTCTCTTCAGAAACACTCTCCCCTGGTAGCCTCCGTAGGTTTTCTTGTGGTAGCCCATGGAAACAAAAACATCCACTTCCTTGAGGTAATCTGAAGTCAGCTTGGTCCACTTAATTCGGATTTTGTGGGTTCCTGAGCCAAAAGCTGTAGGGTCTCGATAAAATTTACATGGCAGTGTAGCATTGCCACCTCTGTGTGAGAACACCTTGGCTTGTTCTGCTTCCACGAGTAGGCGGGGACCATTTTCTGTTACAATTGAAAAGAAAAGAACAATTACTATGATTTTAGGGTTTTTTATAAAATGAAATATGCTGACTATACCCAGAATCTGGCAAATAGCTTTGAATGCTAAATGTCTCTGCAATGTTGAGTCTTTTTTGAACCACATCAAAAGATACTTCTAGTACCTAAATGTCTTCTATTCAAAGTAAAGAAATCAGAGCTTTTAAACCCTGAAAAATGGAAGGATGGGCGTAATAATCATTAGGAAATATTGGATAGGGCCTCCCTGATGGCCTAGGGATAAAGTCTCAGCACTATCAGCATTGTCACTGATGGGGACTGAGTTCCATCCCCGGCCAGGGGGCTGACCCACAGCAGACCTCTCCTGTTTCGCCTTCTGCTTCCATCAACAGCGTATTGCAGTAGATCTGTTTTTTTTTTTTTGCTTCCCACTCTGTCTCAGGTGAGTCCTTTCACTTCCCATACTTCTGGCCTGCACCCTGGTTCTTCTATGCATAAATAAAAATAAAAATTAAAACCATACCTCTTATACTGGGTATAAGATAACAGTCACCTGGTGATTTGATGATTTCATAATAAATTCTATGTTTTTCTTTTGTATTTAAACTGTATTAACTTTAACTGCATTGTTCTGACCAAAGAAACTTAGAAAAACCTATTGGCTCTAGGGAAAAAATATACCTGTGATATGCCATGCTGGAATATTTCAAGCATCTATATATATTTTCTTTTAACACACTAAAGGCTGGATTTCAAAAAGGGTTTCCAAAAAGTGTCTGAAAAACTCCAGAATTGAGAAATACATTTCTTTCTTTTTTCTTTCTTTCTTTAAATATTTATTTATTTATGCATACAGAACTGCGGTACAAGCCAGAGGTGCAGGGGCGGTGAGAAGCTTCACCAGAGACAGAGTGGGGAGCAGAACAGGCAGACAGATGAGGTACACTGCTGAGGGGAGCAGCGGGCGGGCCAGGAGAGGTCTGCGGTGCCATGCGGATCACCTCCCGGGTAGGCAGGGATCAAACTCACCATGAAGCGGCTGCGACTAGCTTGCAGTGCTGGGTCCTAAACCACTGCGTCACCAGGGAGGGCCGAGAAATACATTTCTCAAAACTTAGATATTGCTAGAATTCCCAAAGTTATATTTACTTAACCAAATAATTGCTATTTTACCTCAGTTGTCTCCTCTATCTGCTTTCTGCTGTCTTATTTGACAGTGATTGCTTCCACCTTTCCTTTCCTCACCGTTTTGTCTCCCTCCTCCCTCTTCCAAGGACTTTATTGCCTTCCAGAGAGCACAGCAACATTCGGAGCCTGCCAAGTCAGCAGACTGCTGGTCTCTAGAGATCCAGCTGTTATTTTCAGATCTTGGCTTTCTCTGGGGTTTCCCCTGGTTAGCTCACTGTGCTTTTGACCTTGACAAGTTCTCCTGAGGATGTGCAAGATTTGAAAATGAGACAGCATTATAAAAACTCATGGACACACACCTTCTCATCCACAACACGGCTCTCAGAGGCTGCCAAAATTGCCTTTTCATGGAGTGCTACAGCCCTTCTGGCTGCAGGCTGGTATGTTGTGAATAAACCTTAGGCACAAATCATTTAAGATACACAAGTCACCAGGAAGAGTAACAAATCACCTCCAGGGAGATCTCAAACTTTGTTACTTAATGGTATACACAGGACTCAGATTTTAAAATAAAAAGTGTTCCAAGATGACACAGTGCTCCATTTTTTATTATATAGCATCCCAATAATATAAGAATGAATGTGCTTTATGTATGATCAGTCTCAGTCCTCAGGGCCTGGAGCTAACAAAGCCATCAATGTCCCTCCTTTGAATGGATAATAAAAAGGCAATGGTTAATTAAAATGAATCACAAATTCACATCATTAAGCTTTTCCATTAGATTTTGCTCTTTATCGCTCATTTAGGACTGTTGAGGGGGGGGTTCATGTCCCTACCCCCACTTACACGTAGCCACCTTAAACTAGCCATTGGGAATTAGATTTTTAACAATATTTCTCAAGTATGACACTGCTAAATATGCAGTATAATCCTGGCATATGTTAGATAATGCTCCACAGTTTCACCTTCTTATAGTTTTGAACTATGTGAAATGAAAAAGTACATAAAATACCACTTGTATTATACAGACCTGTAAATTATTGTGTGGTTTAACATAGTCATAAGGTGTTCCAGAATGAATACAGATCTGCTCATATTACAAATTAAAAATCAAAGCAAAGGTCAAACCCCCGTATGAGGGACCAAAACATCTATTTTTTTTCCCCTGTGGTTAAATGAAATTGGCTTGTAGTATTTAACAAGTATAGGTTTCTAATTTATGACCCATTGTGCTTGAATATAATGTGTAGGTGATGACTCATTGTGGTATAATATTGAGAACTGAGTAGCCACCAACACTGACTTATTCCCTACAGAAGAGTTTTTTTAAGTCTGACAGAATGTAAAATATTCTACAATTCTTATTTTGCTTTTGGAGGGCTGAGGTGTTGAGGTAATAAAGCCAGAAGCCCCTGGATTGAAATTCTACAAATCCTAAGAAAGACGTGTTGTATGGACCCTCCCTGGTGGTGTAATAGGTTATAGCGCAGCACCATGAAGCGTGTGATAGCTGCTTCAGCACGAGTTCCATCCTCTGACAGGGAGGTGACCCATATGGCTCAGCAGACCTCACCTTAATTGCCCTCAGGAGTGTAGTTTGTTTATCTGCCTGGTCTGCTCTACTCTCCCCTTCTGGTGAATTCTCACAACACAACTGCACCTCTGGCATGTACCCTAGTTCTGTATGCATAAATAATTAAATCTTATTTAAAAAAAAAAAAAAGAGATGTGTTACATGTAACAGACTAAGTGACTGAGCACCGCAAAAGTTCACTACCATCGCCTGGGTCAGTGTTTGTTGATGGGCCATATGATGTAGAAGATCAACACCACACAGTATATAGCAGTGAGCACTGCTTGTGGGAGTGGCCTGCGGCAGCACAGGTAAAATCAGAAAGAAGGAGCACTCAATGGTCAGTGAGGTGCTCTGGACCCCCTTGCAGATGCTACCATGTTCTCTAACATGGAGTTTAAGATTGTTATCAGGCTTGCCCATAGTGAGCTGTCATCAGAGATCAGCCTGGAAATGCACTGAGACAGACAGAAGAGGGAAGGGGGCAAAGGGCAGAAAAGGGTAACCCAGAGGGAGGATGACGAACTGCACAATTTGCCTAGAGTAACTGGATTATGACCACTGGATTTAAAACCCTCAGTCAGATTAAAGTGTAAATCAAAGCTCTTTGATTCACAAGCAGCTGCAAAGCAAATAATATCAAAAGATAAAAATAAACCTTGATCACTAGAATGAGTGTTCCTTTTTTTTTTTTTAATTAAAAACAAACAACCTATTTGGGAAGACTGCATTTTTTTAAAGTTCAGTTGTTAAGTTACAGGATTTCCTATTTTTATTAGTGAGACTCAATGACAGTGACTTGAAAGACTTCACGCCCTTCAAAGACCACACTTGTCTCCAGGGGAAACAGCAGGATCTCATTATTCTCTTACAAATTCTGCTGTGAAATCCAGAGGACTTCATTCAATTTCACCAAGTTATGAAAGTAATGACATGACTGGACCGCTGCTCTTTGTATTGCTATGCCATCTTGATGAAGTCTTAAACAACAGGACAAAATCAATTAACTGCAGAAACACAATTCAGACATAGACTAGGCTATTATCAATTGCTCTCAGCATTATTGAAAGTGCAGTGGTGTGCGGGGGTGGGGCAGCCGTGGGTGCAGATCATTGCCAAAGAAACCCAAGTGACAGAAAAAAGAAGGTGCTCTGAATCACACAAAGGCAATGCTGGTATTGGCTATTTCATCACTGATGTATACGTGAAGAAACCTCCTAATTTCTGGATTTCCTAGACCAATAAAGTGTTAACAAAAAACAAATTTGGGGGTCTCTACTTACTACTTAAGATGATTACATCGGTTGCTGAAGGAGAACATTACAAATTCCTCCCTCCCAAGGAAAAACTATTGCCACCATTTGAATTTTTTTAATCATAAAATTTTCTATAATTACCCTTTTCAGTGCACAATTTTCTATAATAACCCTTTTCAGTGCACAATTTGGTGACATTCATTGCTTTCACAGGGCTGTGCAACCACTACTATCTAGGTCCAAATCCTTGTCATCACTCCAAACAAAGTTAATTCTTCCTTGTCATTCTACACTGGCTGGCAGAGACTCGACTGTCAGCTCCATGATGAGTCACTCGAAAAACTGCAAAAAGGTTTTTAAAATGTTACCTTAGTTATGTGACAATCATTATCATTTAATAGTTTTCGATTTGTAAGACTAGTGCGGTTACTCTCTTAGAGTAGCCAAATCTGCTGGAGGGTGAGCAATCAGGATGGATTTACGTCCATGCTTTCCTTCCTCTGCTGAAAGCAATCACTGTGCCCCTCATCCGTGTGCTGTTTACACTGCTCGTCCAGCACCTACGCAGCGCCCCGCATGAGGTAATAAGTGTCAGCTGCTGAATTGTACCAGAGCTGCGAGGGCCTGTGCCTAGCTATAAATACACCTAAGCTTGCTTTATACCATACCATATACCATGCCATGTTGGTAAAATGAAAATGCTTTATAAAATCAATTATACATGTACATAGTAAAGTGCTTAAGCAAAATACATAATTTTAGCTTTTAGTACCTTGCAGGTTACATGTGTAGGGTACACGCTGCAGGAGACACTAAGGAGGATCTTACTATAAAGTTTAACTTTCAGATCATTTTGTTTCCATCTAACTGGAATGAATCTAATTTTCCGCTAGATGCTCACCAGAACCAGGGCTCCCAATGTCTGCTCGTGAGAACGATGTGTCTGGTCAGCTTAGCAGAACTTTTACGAGATTCCTCCACTGTCTCGGCTGCCCCACCCCATCTAGCCTTTACAGAAGTTCCCCCTTATCCGAAGTTTCAATTTC